GGCCCACTTGCACCCGCGGTGCATAACGTGAAATTTTCTCAATCAGGACGAACGAAATGTTCCATCAGATTGCATAGATTTCTTATACAGATTTCTGTGTGCGCGTTTTTTTCCCCCCCCCCCCGGAAATTTGTGCACCTCAAATAATTTACGCGCAACTGGGTCAAATGCTTTTGCCCTCGGGCGAGCAAATTTTGATTTCCAATACGTGTGACGGTATGCGGCGTCGTTTAGTTGGCCAATATTCGCGTCCGTTAGATTCTAATTAATGATAACATGGTCGCGTACGAGGTCATTAATTAATTAAGCATCTGCACGCGATTATTCACTCTCCAGAGAGAAGGCTGTTTATTGTTGATTCGCGTGCTTTAAAAATAGAAAACGTGCGAAATAATTTTCAATGTAAAAATAAACAGCGAATATTGTTTCACTGATACATTTTCGAAGTTCAATTTCGCCAATATACTTCCGCGATGCATTTTGCAGATAAATATTTCCGAAGAATTTAATTAATGACGCGCGAGAAACATGTTCTATTAACGTCGAAGTTTGTGAAGCGGCAAAATTATTCTTCACGAAATAAAGTTTCAAACGAGCAACGACGACGGCAAGAGGAATGATTTTCCTACGCTGGAAGGTCAACCGTAGGCGGAAGTCCTTGCGACGAAAGTCTAAGTGGCACACAACCGGACGAGAAGAAAAGGAATCCCTCGCCTCCGGCTTCTTAATAGTTCCATCGCGTGCCGCTCTCGCGAGCGAAATGAAACTAGGAAAAATTTGCAATCTCTAATTACGTTTTGCCGCGACGAACTTGCGCGTCACGCTATTGACACTTAAGCGAGTAAAGTCGCCTCGTCGCGTGAAGAGGGAGAAATTCTTTCGAGAGAAGCGCGCATCCCAATCTTGTACGACGAATGCGCGACTTTATTACATTTTCGAATAAAAACATACGTAATATAATTATAATATTATCTCTTACGTGAGACTTCTTGAATATACATGTCTCGAGCAAAGTTAATTACACGTCGCTTCGATTCTTCTGCAATGCACATCGTAGAGAAACCGGGAAAGCGTGTTTGACGAACTTAGAATTAGTTACGTCACAATACTTCCCTATACGCCAATCAACGTCATAGATCATAAAAGCTTATACACGTTGTGCGAACAATGCACACAATCGGCGGCTCGCTAATTCCGCAATCGTCCTACACGCGATCGTCTCACGATCACGCCGTCATTGTCGCCTCGGGCGTATCCTGTTCAAGGATAACGACCTCGACGTGCGACGACTCGCTCGCACAACTCATTTAGCAAAAACAAATATTTATCAATCGAATCCCGCTCGAACAATTTTCCAAGATGGAAAGAAAAAATGCAGAATTTCTTTATACGATCAGTGAAGTAGTATTTTCCGTCCTCCTTCGCGGCGAGAGCGAATTTCACACTCACGCGCGCGACGCCGCTTTTCCGTCGTGCATTACTCGCACTCGTTTCCTTCATTTCCGACAGCGTGCTATTTATCTTTTCATGCTCAGAAGTCGCACGAGTAAGCGATCCCTCGCGATAGCCGGGGAACCACCGTCCGGATCGGTCGCGGTGCAGCGCGCCCGAGCGGAAGCCAAAAAGTTCGAAGGCGAAAGTAAAGGTGGAGCGCCGCGAAGAAAGTCGGTGAGAATAAGTGGCACGCCGATGAGGCGTGGACCATCCGACCGGATCGAACATGTGAAACCTGCCGATGATCTCCCGGTGACAGGAATCGAGCGGATCGATCGTTTCACTGAGAAAAATATCGCGCGCTCCCCCGACGCTCGCGTCAAAACGGCACCGTCGGGACGATAAATCTGCCCGTCACAAACAAATGCGAATGCCATTCCGCAGAAATGCGCGATTGTTCAGCCGCAGAAATGAATTCATAAAATATCCAGATATCCGACGGATATCGCTTTTCCCGATGGAAAACAATCGCGCACTTACTTATACTTGCCTTACATATCGCGGGTCTTCATCGGAACAACAGATTCGCCGCAGCTGTTACACGCAGAAAGAACAATGGCTCGCGGGAATTATAATGAGATTGAACAACGTTCGCGATTCAAGATATACAGCGGACTTTTAGTGAAAACGCGCATCACCGACAGATACCATCTTCTCGAATAAAGTCGACATCGCTTGTTTAATGTGACAAATGAGTGTGTCGCAAATTGAATTTCCGCTAGACGAGTCCTCCCTTCGAAAATTTCTTTACGCAACTGCGTTCTCTCCGTTCTATTTCCACTTGTTGTGAACGACGTTGCGCTCGAAGTTAATTTAACCAATCCGGTTTTCATTGCGTAGCAATTAAGCACGCGGCAATTAAACGATGAGTTACTGCATAATCTCCGGAACAAAATACGTTTTACAAATGAGTCACGGTTGCAGGATGTTATCGCGGAACACACGCCACTTCCGAGTCGGCGTGTAAAGATTGTTAAAGGAAACACGAGACTTGCATCGTTCGTTCAGTACTTTTCTCTTGGAGCGCGCGCGCGCGCGCGCCGAGCACCCTCTCGAAACCTAAGAAACGAAAGTTTCCGAGCGACTACCGGATAGTGCAAACATACAAGTAGAGCGTGAAATACCGAAGGCCGCGAATATATGACATTTTTGCGAACGGTACCTTCGATCGGGTCACTCGACCCGCCACATATCATTTCCTGGATGTAATACATTTAAATAGAGGCATCTTCGTGAATGAAGTAGCTGTCAGTTTTTTTAGACGTACTTACAACAAATTCGCATTTTCATAGCTACAATAATTGCAGCGTATTAAATTTCTCAAATAAAGAGAAGATTTAGTTGTCATGAAAGCCGGTTTATAGGATGTTTTATGGATAATTGTGGAGAAAACTGCAACATGCATGATTTACAGCAATCATTATACTCCACTTTAACACTGTCAGCCAACGTTCAACCGTAGCGAAATATATAAAATACATATTTCTTCTTTAATCTATCTTAAATTTACTTATATTTTTCAAATGCTCAAATTCCGAAGTATTCAATTTTTCGATATCATTATTTTTTATATTTTTTTAATAAATTTGTGTTCAATTTAAAAATTTAGCACACACTCGAAGGAATTTCTTTAACAATGTAATTGAATTTTCTGCGGTGCTCAACGTGTTGAAAGCGCGATTGAACGACGTCGCCGAGACCGCGCCTTTACCGAAGACGCCAGCTGGCTTCTTCGCGCGTTCACGCCTTACGCGGGAGAAAGGTGCTCGACCTCCTTTTTAAAACCATCCTGATCCGGCATCTGGCGCGCACGAAACGATTGATAATTGCACGCATTACCGGCGGAATTGGCGATGTTGGGTGAGCAAAGCCCAACGAGACCGGATAATATCGCGCCGATGCTTTATGCGCTCCTCCATTTAGAGAAAGTCATTTCTTTCGACGGGCACGACGATCAGATCGCTTCAATCACACCCGCAACTAGGATACGTGGGAAGCTATTGGCCAGGATTGAAAGCGGAATTACGACGGAACCGCCATTGTTACGGAACGACGTGCCTTCGACCGTGTAGCTAGAAAAATTGTTCTTGGGAAATTTCTTGAAAACTGTTTTTTTTAAAACTGTTCCCTTTACCTATCCGATAGATTTTATCTATCTGATTGATGTTGAATAACTGTGAAGGAAAATATATAATTTATATTTCAACATAAAAAATGTAACGCGCAAACTCGATCGAGAATCGATTATGCTAGCGTGTTTCACGGAGATCAGCTAATTTCAATATTTGTTTTTGATGCGTTTAGATTTTTAGAAAAATAACTGCGCGTATCATATGATTAGAACTATTTAATTAGAACTTATTTCTCTGATCTTTCATCGATACCGCTGCTTTCGCCGATTGATTCGCAGTAAATTCTCTGTCGGAATTTTGTTGCTCCGTGCATGCGCGCGATACATATATACAATCGAACATTCCGCCGGCGCAATCGATTTCTTTTCTTCCCGACGAGGAACCCGCGCTGAGGATCGCATCGTTATTTTACACTCGATGGATTCGTTTCTAAAAACAAGCGGGCGGAATGCGCTCGGAAAGAATCGCGAAGAAAGCAGAAAAATCGCATGCCGTGTCCGACACGCGATCTTCCGTAATGAAAATTGCATATAAGCGCATATGCATCGGGGCTCGTAATCAAAATCATGTCAGTGGCACGCAGACTTGACTGATGCGCATTAGAAAAATAAAAGAGAAACATCGTAAAATCTAGGAACTGGTGGATTTTCCGCAATGCGTTCACTTCGTTGATGATATCATCGGTGTGTCGATGATATCACTCTGCAAACATTAATTACGAATAATATAAAAATGAGATAATACCGTTGAATTGCTTCAGCCCGTATTTCTTCCAGATTGCCGATAATCTCTTTGCGTTAAACCTCGCTCACAAGGAGTTGGATAATGAAGAAAAATCTCTTATTTCTATCTGAACGCTTACTCGCGCGAATGGTCACGCTCTTGCTGATACGCTCGCGAATGTGAAATAGGTTGAAGATAGTGGTCGCATGTCCATATTTTCCGCGTTCGTAACTAGAAGGCCGACTACATTCACTGGAACATTATGTCGCTCGACACTGCCTGCAAATATTTGCTACGAAATGAGTCGCGATATTACAAAGGAGATCACAGATACAATATCGCGTGTTTTTAAAAGATTTTAATCCATTATTCGTAGAGCGAATCGTTCGTGTTCGTCAGTGATTATTTATTTTAATTATTCCTTACAGATTATTATCAATAGTTCGTTCAAAATCGCACCTTTTCTCAACGTGTTGCAATGTTTCTTTTTTTTTTATACGAAGATCGAACAAATAGACATGAGTAACAACTTTAGTGAAAGTCGTCTTTACACACGCAAATGGGTTTAGTGACTCACGCTTACAGCACTATCATTCGAGCTGTAATTTACGAGTGGTTTGATATTACTTATTTGTTGGCAAATCGCGGATAAAAACCGGATACTTCGTGATAGATCTACTGCATTACGAGACACGCTCGTCAGCGATTTGTTTCTTCGTCTAATGACTTATACAGCAGAAAGGTGCATTTACGCCAGCGTGCAAATTCGCAGAGGTAGAAGCGAAATGGAAAAGCAGATATTGAGGGAATCGTGAGCTGCATTGTTTCGATCGAACAATGTGCGTCACTCGCATCTCTATTCAAGATGAACAGTCAATCAGTGATACTTGCAATCTGCGCGAAACGAATCAATTGCGAGCGTCAGTAATCGTAGTGTATGAAACTTTGTCACTTGAACAGGAATATTAATAATGTCACACGCAAATATTAATGCAACATTCAATTTTGCGCATTGTATTAATTATTTTTGAATCGTAAATACCATTTTAAGTTTTTGAATAACATATATAAAATTTTATTTACTAACTTGTGTGTGATTATGCTTTTTATTGCGCGACACATATTTATGTATAACATTTTAATTAAGTTTATATAATTCTGTAATTAATGGAAAATACGCGTGAGTCTGATAAGGCTTGATTTATTTTCTATTAATCGGGTGGTAGAATCTCTATCATTTTCTAATTAAATGTGAAATGATTACAACAACAATGAGATAATGCAATAAATTTGTTTCGCACTTCATGAAATTTTGTTAAAGATGAGAAAAGTTTGACAGAAATTAGCATTAAAACTAATTATTTCGTAACAAATGACTATTATTATTTTCTAGACGCAATAGTGTCTTCTCATCGTTGACAATCTACTTCCATAAATCTCTTCCCACAGTAAAGAAACAATTTATTCAAAGATTTTGATCAATATGAAAGTTTATGAAATGTTTAATGAGTATTGATGATAATATCGGAAATGATTAACAGCGCCGCCTCTACCGCCGTAGTGGTTCTGTCCTATTGCGAGTTTCATTAAACCGCAGATTCCATTAAAAAGCCATAAGCGAGTTGTGGCCATCTCATCCCGCGATAAGTACTTCACTCATTTATTCACATTGTGATAGATGCGGTGAGACTGCGGTCGGTTTCTTGTTGTTTCCCCGCTTGTTATTCCGAGACTGTTATTCCACGTCTTGTCCTACGATGCTCCCTTTGTTATTCTACATTTCGTAACGAATAAAATAACACGCTCCGTCCGAAAGTGCTGCTCCATTATTCTACAAACGGGAACGTTTTGCGCTCGTATTTTTGTCTATCTAAATAGAATATTCAATGGTCCGGCGATTGGATTCGGAGGACAAAACGCGCTCGATATTTCGAAACTACGCTCGCACACGGCTTGCGCGACGCGAGAGGGGTTTATTTTTAAAATATGAATCACGCCGAACGCGGGGACTGATGTCGATGTTGACCCAGATCCACCGTGCAAAAGTCAATCAGAGCAATTTTACGCTGTCAACAGACAGCCGGGTACGTGCCGCGTCTCGCCGGGGTTAATTACTCCCGCGATCGATTGAATCGATGTTGTTGGTTTTAGATTGTGCGGCGGTGCCTCACGCCGACCGCGGTATTCATCGCCCTAACGTTGTTAGGCGGATTCGACGGAAGCGCGGCCGAACGATGGTCGCGGCAGGTCTCCAACAGCGAGTGGATCCCGCTGGCTAATCCGCAGAGAGCCGGCCAGCTACCGCAGGAGGATGCGAGAGGCGGGCTCTTGACCAGCGCCACGCATCTGCCGAATCCGATACAATCGCTCGCTTTACCGCCCGCCCTTCAGCATCAATACCAGGAACAGCTGATTCAGTTGCAAAAGACGCAGGAGAGCATTCAAAAGCTCCTTCTGCTGCAGCAACAGCTCAGAGCCCAGCAGCAAATTCTTCAGGTGAAAAAAAAAGAAAAGAAAATCTCGCTTGCGTTAGTAATTAATTCATTTTTTTTAAAATCGAAAATACTTATCCTGCGTTTTTGTTTAAAGTCTCAGGCGTACGTGCCGTACAGCAGTGCCGAGGACGAGAAGCAAGCGCTACCGCCGAGCGCCGTGCAAGCGCCGGAGACTCTGATCCCGCCGCATCCGTCATCAGACGCGCTTCCACCGGTCTATCCGCCTCAGAATTTCCTATCTCAGAGACCGGGACTGGTCCATCAGAATCTGAACGAGGGCCAAGTTGTGCTGCAGCACGGCGAGAGCGCGGAGGACGCGCAAGAAAGACCGCCGCATACGTACGTGCCGAAGCAAGGAAGTCAGAGACCCGACGGGAAACGTCTGAAGGGACACCAAGGCTTACCGCAATCTTCTCTGATCGGAAGCAATGAAGAGGAGGAGGTTCGTACAATCCTCGCGCACTTTGCTTTCTTCCGGATTGTGTAATTTATCCATTGACCGATTTCTACTTGTGCATTTCTGCGATATTATCACTAATCGCTAAGCTAAATAGAATTAGAGCGTGTATAGAATACGCGGGATGCGTAATATCAACCGAGCGAAACCGGAACTGCGAGCAAGATTTGATAAATTAATCTTGGCTTGTTAGAATTATAATAGTAATTAATTTTAACGAATCGTGAATTTTACAAAAAAAGTAAATTTACAGAATTTGTTTTAGATTTTTGATTTGTATCGATAACAGATTATTTTTATCAAATTGAATAAATAATATCAAAACAGCAAACGATAAAAATCAAATTTAATCAAATTAATAATCAATATATTTATTATATAACAATAAGTTCCAACAATGTTAATTAATAAATGTTAAAAAATTAAGAAACTACTTCCAATTAAATCAATCCAATATTTATACAAAGCCAGGATTAAGCAATTTTCCATTGAAAAATTTATAAGCCAAAATTAAGGGCATATATTTGAACAATCGCAAAAACTCATAGGTTCAACTGGTGTACGTTCCGGCGGAAACGTTGGCGCAAAGAGGTCAGCTGAAGAGGAATCGCGGAAGAAAGCCATATCCCGTTCGCCAGCAGCAACGAGAGAACATCGAACAAGGGAACATCGACCAGGCCTCGCTCTCGCCCGAGCAAGCGGCCTTCGCGCGGCAGGTGCTGCAGCAGATTCATAAGGACCACGAGGATAATGCGCATTTCTTGAACGAGGAGCGCACGAGGGAATTCACGAGATTGAACGAGGAGCAGAAGGCGCTCGAGCGGAAGACGCGATTGCAGCAGGAAGCGCTGCAGCGGGAGCAAGAACTGTTGCGCCAGAAGGAAGCTGAGAAGAAGCGCAAGGAGTTGGAAAGGCTGGAGGAGATAGCGAAGCAGCGCGAGCTAGACCGAATCCGCGAGACTAGAGAGAAGCAGAGGCAGGAGGAACTCGAGCGACGACGAGTCGCCGAGATTCGCGTGAAGGAGGAGAAGCGCCGAGAGGAGGAGGCGCAACAGCGCGAGGATAGGCAGAAGCAGCTCGAACTGGAGAGCCAGCAGAGAGATCAGCTGCGGACCGTCAATCACGGTCTGCTTCAGCAAAATCCTCAGTCGCAAGCGCTGGTGCGCGAACAGCCGCATCGCCAGCATCTCGCGGACGGCACGAGGGCCAAGAAGATCCGCAACAGGCCGCGCCAGCGAGTTAATCAGGAACAATCGGGCTACCACGACGTAGCCGCGACCACGCCGTCGCCGAATCAGCCGCCGCTCTCCGTTTACATGGGTGGTTCCAGCTCCAAGCTGGAGTCTGTCAAGGTCACCGATGTTCTGCGACTTCTAAGAGATGCGAAGACCATCGCCGTCTTGGACAACGTCGGTCCGGAGTCGCCGCAGGTCTTCGTGGGTCCGTCAAATCTCGACCCGCCGTACGGATATGCGAAATTCGATCTGCCGTATCTGTCGTCGATCGATCACAACAGAGTGGAGCGTAAGGTCGACAAGCTGCCCTTCTTCGTGGCGCCGTTGAGCTTCGATCCGCCGCCCGGTTACTCGAAGATTCCATTCCCGGCGCCGCATATCGGCTCCGTCGTCGTCAACACGCTGTCGGAGGTGTCGTCGGACAGCGCGCCGGTCGACGAGCAAAATCCCAACCCGATGCCGCTGATCGAGCCAAATTCTTACACCGACGCCGATCAAAGCGGATCGATCGCCACCACCGCGTCGTACGATTCATCGAGCGCCTCGCCGAACTTCCGCGCGGATTCCAACGGCCCGAAATACGAGCCCTCTCACTCGACGCCGCCCACGGGCTCGAGATTCAGATTCAGACAATACTACGACGGCAAGCCGGCGTCCGTAGTTAGCACGTCGTATTATGAACGCGAACAGTCGGCGAAGGCGAAGCCGAGCAAGTATTACGAGCAGGAATCCAAATCGACCACTCCTCAGTCACCCAAGTTTGACACAACGGTTAGCTACAGACAAGAGGTTTCCTATTCCAGCACACCGAGTTTCCAGGACGAAGCGGTGAGTTCGCACGATCCATCCGCGAAGGAGCAGGACTTGGCAGCTCAATTAGCGCTCATTAATCAGGAGCTCGAGCAGCAGAGGGAGAGCCAGAGATACAACACCGCCGAACAGTATCACGGCCAGAGCAATCTGGAATCGTACGACGCCAATGACGTCAGAGCGCCGGTTGGATCGGCGCAATATAATTTGCCAGCGGAATTACCGCCAATTTCGCCGCACCTGCCCGGCTTGATAAACTCATTGTTGGACAAGCAGGAGGGAAATCTTCCGGTCGCCACGACGCCGCCCACGATGACCACGACCTCGACGCCGGCAGCGACGACCGCTCGCTTGAATTCCACGACTTACAGGCCGCGAACAAGGTGGGTGTGTGTTTAAAATGTGACAAAAGCGCATGTGAATCGTTTCATAGTTGCACGTTACTTTTGTATAATTTATAACTTGCGTTCAAAATTTTTTCTTCACTTATATCTTGCCATTTTTATGCCATTTTGACATTACGCGCGTCGTAAATGATGTGAAATTTTTTCTGGCATAAAACTGTCGCGCGTAAAACTTTTAATATTAATATCTAGAATTGTAGAGCGTCGATGCAACATTCTCGGTTTTACCGTGCATGTCAGCGGTAATGTATTAAAATTGCATACACAGAAGCAGAGTTGTACCCACGAGATCCAGAACGACTCAGGCGCCGGCTAATAAAACGGATAGAGCTCGAAGACCAACGTACAACAGATCCAAATCCAGATTCTCGACTACGACGGAGGAGTATCACGAACCCTCTTACGAGCCAACGAAGGCGAGGGCGCCGGAAACCACGCAGAAGCCGAACGCGATCGAACACAGGAGACCAACGTCTAGAACGCAAAAACTTAGAACTCGGGACAGAACGAGTTCTGCGGTACGATTCATTTTAAATTCCTGTTCGTGAAATTTTTAAAAAATCTTAAAAAAAAAACATATACAAAATATGAAAAATAAAATAACGAAATGTCTAAAAATAGTCTTCCCGACTAACGCAGGTTCAGAGTCACAACACTCAGCCGGGCGACTTGGAGAATTATCCGACGCAGAGCGACTCTCAGGGTAATGTATCTCCCGACGCGTACTCGCCGGCGAACGGACCCGCCTCTAATCTCCAGCAGAAGGAAACTCCGTCGCCGGGAGTGAGCGATTACACCCGGGAGAATTATTCGCCGACCACTGCCACGCAAACCGAAAATTATCCGCCGCTGCGCGAGTTTACGGTCCAGCATGGCGTGCCCTTGGTATCCGGCGATTACTCCAGGAGTCAGAATTATCCGCAGAACCAGCCGCAGGAAGCGAACTACCGGCAAAGTGCGACGTACGATCAGAACGGCGGCTTCGAGCAGGCGGCGCTCGAGATGACCCCCGTGAACGGATTCAATTATCAAATCGCGAGTGTGAATTCACCGGATCACACGAGTCCCGAGAGACCGCGGTATCAAAGCAAGCTGGAGGACGCCAATTACAATCTGGCCAGCACGGAGGACCCGCGAATCCGGGAGGAACATCGATATTCCCCGATTTACGAGGTCAGCGTGGCGCAAACTCAGCCGGATTACAACTCGTTCCGCAATGTTGACGACGGCAAGATCGAAAACGGGGCGACGGAGACCGATCCGGGCGCGTCGCCGATTTTCGTTCCGCTCCAGCAGAGCAAGCACGAGGAGTACGAGCTGCGGATTCCCTCCACGGAGAGACCGCTCGTCGAAGTACGCATGTCAAATTGATATTGAATTGATACTGAATTCGAACAAGTGTTTTAATCGCTTGATGCGTTTCCCAGAATCCGCTTCGGTCGTTGAAATTTTATCGAAAATGCAATAAATTATAATTGATCGTAGTGAATCTATAAATAAATACAGATTTTATTTAATCATCGTTAAAACTCTCTCCGCTTTCAGATTAGCACGAAGAGCACGACCACCCCGGCGAATTTAATAATACGTCAGCGAGTTCGAGGTCGATTGAGCGGGAGTCGCCCTCATCAAGACTCCGCGGTTCAGACGCGGCCCCGCGGCTCTCAGGACGAATACGTGCGCTTCAGCGTCGTGAGTCACGATTCCACTCGCACGAATCAACGGCAGCGCGATGGAACGAGGACGAGGCCGCGCGTGCGTCCGCAAAGTCACGGATCGCAGGTGCAGACCGAGGGTAACGAATACATAAAGATACACGCGGCGCAGCAGCAGAGGTTGATCGCCACCACCACGCCGCCGACGACCACCAGCACCACGACCACCGATCGCACGTCCAACGAAGACGTCGATTACGGATTTATCAGACCGCCGAACTTCCAGCCGGTTAACTCGCCGCAATCGGTGCATCCGGTGGACAGCAGATTCCAAACGCCCGTTACATATAGACCGGCTTTGTCCGAGGTGCGATGTTTTTGTGGTTTAATCCAATATGTATATCCTAAATTCTTGCCTTATTCGTTTAATTATTAATTTTTTATTTTATCGCTAGCACATATAAAATTTTTTCGTTTTTTTTTTTTTCTTTCTTACGCTTGTTACTTTAAAGTAAAGTTCTAAACAGTTGATCGATCTTCAAACCTCATCTAGAATTCTTCAATTTTTTTTCAATATTACAAAGGTATTTTTTACCGAACAATTTGAATCGAAATTTTCGCGTAACGCTCCATCGATCTTCCCTACAACGGGCTTTATCGTGCACAAAACTACCCTTCTAGCTTGCTCGAGAAATAAACGCGAATAAACTTGCCGCAGATACAGCACATAATCCCCAACGACGAGACAGCGGTGGAATCCAGTCCGGCGCACATCTTGAAAAATCGTCCGAAATACCAGCAGACTCCGACCCGCCGTCCGACTACAAAAACATTCACAACGACAACGACGAGCACGACGACGGAAACGGTACCTGTTGCGACGACGATACCGGATAACAGAGCGTACACGACGAGGCAGAAAACGAGACCGGACGAGACGAAGACGACGAGGGCGCAGGGAAGAATTCGCCGACCGGCGAAGAAACGCACGACGTCGACGACGGAATCCGGCCTCGAGGCGAACAACGAATTGCCGCTGGACGAGAATTATCCTCGAATAACGCCGCAACAGCTGCCGGTGACGGCGGCGGGACAACAGCCTCTCTACGACGACAATTTCGACGTGACGCCGCAATTCGCGCTGAATCGGAATCGACCGGCGCAGTTCTACGAGGAGAGTGGCGAAAACGTAAGTAAATTTTCCGTCGCGATCGCATTGAGAGGCGACGAATAAGTGCTTATTTCAATTTTCACATTACGAACGGCATTCAGGAAGAAACGTTATTTTTTCGCAATTTCCGAATTTGCAAAATGTGATTTAGAATACAAAAATACGTCGCATTGTTGTGTGAATCTTTGCTTAAATTTATTTTTAGCGTTTTTTTTATATATATATAAATACGACTCACTCTTTTGAATCGATCAAATGTAATGCCAATATTTCCAGTATCCTCAGGAGTTTCTTTTAAACTTCGGCAATCTGCCGGAGCAGTCGCGACGGGAGGAGTACGATCAGACTCAGTTGGCCAGTATTCACACGAAGAAGTACAGTAATTCAGGTCACGTGAGCTCGGATGCGAGCTCCGCCGGTGACATTTACGGCGCCGAGAGCCAGTGGTCCACGAAGTTGTCGAAAACGTCGTTCCAGCCGAGCTTCGCAGCCTCGAATCGCGTGGCCGACGAGACGAGGCAGAACCGAAATAGGATCCATAACGATCAGACGAGCGAGAATGCGCCTGAGATCATCACAGCTGGACCGGAAGTGCCGTCGGTGACAATGATCGTTTCTGCCGATTATCAGAAACGCCTGAATAATGCTGACGAAGTGATGGATGCTTTCGGAAAGAAGACGAATGCGCAGGATCACACGGAGAAGCTGAACGCTACAACGGCGGTGACAAGTTCGCCGACGTCATCAGAGACACGAAACTGGATGGGTAGAGAAGAGAATTTTACGGAGCAGATTGATGATGCCCCGAAGGTGAAAATAATGGCTGACTCGACTGGCAGAAAGGTAAAATATTCTTTTGTTTTAACGTAAAAAATATTTAATATGTTTTAGAAAAATAGAAAAAAAATACTCTTATATCTCAATTTTAATAAAATTCTGAGTAAAAAGTCAAGATAAAAGTATCCGGATTTACTTTAGATTTTGTTTTTAAAAGCTAAATTTAAAATGTTTTTCTCGCGAGTATGAAGTTAATAACTTAAAAAGAAGGATAATTAATTATATGAAAATGAATTAAAATCTCAATAATGTAAAAAGTATATTTTTAAATGTTTCAAATATTTACAATAATTTCGTGCAACACGCACATTTATTTATGTGCAGCGTGTTGGTATAAAAATTTCAAGCCAAATTAAAATTGCATCGCGAATCTTTTTCTCATTTTATCTCCACGAAGGGCAATATGAAGCACGCCGAAAATTAATTTTTCAGACCCGACGGAAAAGAATCCGCGTGCGAGTAAGACCTCTCCCGAATGATTTCGTCATCGCCGAATCTCAACATCACGATTCTGCGACGAATAGTCTGCATCGGGATGAGTACAAGTACAATTATGAATCAAAGACCACCACCGCTCAGCCGATTACGACGACCATCGCCGCGACTACCGGAACTGCCGCAGAAACGACGAAAAAATCAATGCTGCAGGACTTCCTGGAGGAGATGCTGAAGAAGGGCGAGGTCTCCATCCCGACTCGCGTCTATTTCGCCACAACGGAGTCGCCGACGACGACGCCGTACATTGTTTCCGACCACGGCGAGACTGCAACTTTGAAAGAAAACCACATGTCGATCGGCACGACGCTGATACCGAACGCCAGTACGGAACGCGCTGAAAGTGCAACCGGATCGAGAGACAACTCCCAGGAAGCGACTTCTAAGGAAGCTGCCGCTTTGATACAGGAAACTGAAGCGCGAAACAAGACAAAATCGGACGAGAATTCTCAGGAGGATCAAAGTGAGCAGAATAATTTGGAGGACATCGAGATGCTCAATGAAAGGTACAGCCTGCCGACGAACTATCCGGATGGATCGGGAACGTCGAGGGAAATTGAGGACGCCATGGCAGAAATGACGGGCTTCCCGGTCGCGACGGACGAGATACGGAAGCTGAGTGCCATCGAAAAACAGAAGAAGGAGCACATAATGACGCTGAGGAGGCAGAAGGTGAATGCCGGCGGGAGCGAGACGCATCCGAAGAATCACAGAGCTAAGTGGAGTGAGGTGAGGTATCCGCCGTCGGCCTTGGACAAGTCCGCGCCAAGCTCGTACCCCACGACGTCCTTCCCCAGCGTTGTCGCGCGAAACGAGGGCGACGGCAGCGTGAAAACGCTGTCCGCCTACGTGAAGGCCATCTTCGACAGCATGAAGAGCGCCGAGCGAGAAGACGGGGTGGAGATCGCGAAGGTGGTCGAATCTAAAAGCGAGACTCCCGCGAATAATTCCCGATTCAACGGTGCCGATTCTTCGGCGCGCGAGGCGAGCACGACGGTGTCCGAGGAGGTGAATCGAAGAGCCGGCACGACCGTCACCGCCGTGACGCAAGGCGCGAAGGAGAGCGCGACGAGCCGCGAAGAGGCGCGGCAGGGTGAGACGACGACGAAGGAGAGCGTCACGACTCTCGAAACGACCACGCTGATCCCGGACACGACCGCGAACACGGTCACGCCGTCCGAGGTGACGACAGAGCCGTCCACGACGACGTTCACCGCGAAGACGATAACGTCGGTGAAACAAACCGCCAGCAATGTGGCGCAGACGAATTCCACGATGCTGGGCAAGGTCCTGCGAACTTCGACCACCACGAAGGTGTCACACATGACGGAGATCTGCTACAGAGGCCGATGCGTGATGACGAAACCGAATATGGATGATTTGACGAGATGAGGGAGGTTTGATTATAATTCGCGACGTGAGAAATAGGCGATCAGGTTCTGCGGGATCATCCTCGGCACTTTTCTGTCCGGTTCTTTATCGAAAGTCAGCAGCGAGAAAGGCGATTGTGAACGGCAACATTTATTTTTATTAAGTATCTATCATTGCTTTTAATTTAGCGATGCCCTTTAATATCAATGTACTTAGATGTATTGATTCTTACTTAATATAAGATAAATATAGATTTCTAGAGAAATTCTGTAGGAAAAACAAGGAGTTATTCGCCAGACAGAAAAGTGTTAACGCACGCATCTTTCGAATCACTCTTTTTGCACATTGATCGAGATATATCGTGCTTGCGAATCGAATCTCCGAGAAATTACACAATGAGATTCTCGCTCTTTTTCAGATGGAAAATTATTGCAACTTTACGTGCGTTATTTTAATCGAAGAGAAAGATATTTTTATATATGTAAAAGTGGCAAGTGCCTAAAATTCCGGCCGAAATTACGGTTCAGCGCGATAGCGGAACGGTGAATTGATTATATCACTAAGTTTGCGCCTCACAGCCTCGCACGTGAGCGTGTAGGGAATGATCAATGTTCTCCAAGCGCCTTCATTTCGAGAGGATATTTTATCGTTGCGAGATAAGGCATCGCTCAAGATGTCGCGACAAATTATGTATGTCGGGAGTTTAAAGGCGAAATACCAGCGTGATATCGGCCGTGAGAAAGGGACATCTTCTCTACGGGGAAGGAAATTCCGCGTCGTCGGCGGCAAATCGATCGTCCGTCGCGACGTGTGCTTATAAAAAGGACCCCGAGCGTGCACAGCCGGCGTCTTTCCGGCGAGATCGAAGCGCGATGGTTCGACTGGCGTTCTCCGCCAGCGCGGGCGACCACTTTGTGTAACGCTTTAGCAGTTAAGTCTATTTAATTTAATTACATATCTGTGTCGTGTACGTGTAAGTTAAAGCGTGTAAGTATTTTAATAAAGTCGCGAGAACGCAATAAACTGCATCTGCCGTCCTTTTTTCCATTTCCCGAAGCGCGACGTGAGATACTTTAATTCCATCGTGGATCGAGTCCTTATTTATCGAAGAGAGAAATTCGTATCTTTAATTTCGCCGTCTTGCTGATGCAAACACTTGGGCAATTTTGCAGGGGATCTTATAAATACAAACAGACTCTAAGTGGTCGTCCCGATAACTTTTTCCAAGGCTTTTATCCGCGCGTCGACCGAAACCCACCCTTACGTCGTCATCGATCGGCAAGATACAACATCGCTCGTACAGATGGTGCCACGTCACGGAGGGGTGGCACCGGAAGTGGGGGATGCTCGAAGGGGTTTCGATATATGTGCGAGCGAACGGCTAGGTGGCATGGTAGCTACGTGGGCGGTGAGGGGTGTGGAGCGTTGAGGCCACAGGGAAGTGCGGAGAAGTAAGACGAGGACGAGAGAAGGGGGAGAGAGAGAGAGAGAGAGAGAGAGAGAGAGAGAGAGAGAGAGAGAGAGAGC